CCACCCCACGAGAGTCGAAAAAACTGTCAACATGACCTTTGATATTGCTGCGGACCTGCCGCGCTTTTTTTGGCCTCGAGGATCGTCCCCGAAAGCCTGCTGAATCTTGCGAATGGTTTACGCTTGGGTATCGCCAAAGTTTTTGGCAAAATTTGATGTAATATCGCTGCTCACGTTGTTCAGTCATTTTCCAACTTACTGTTAGTGGAATCCGACGAGAGCTCACTACATGTCCTCACTACTGTAATAGGCCGACTGCCAACGACTGACGCTTCCTGCAGGCGGGAAAAAATTCAGAGCTGTGCATGACTGTCCCCTCCACAACTCCACCGAAAGAGGCCTCCCGCGCATCATTGGTTTACGCGGAAAAAATAAAAGTCCGATACTTTTTGAACAGACCTCGTATAGTTGCAGTACGTTCATTTAAATAATCCTGAAATAGTAGTAGGATGTTACGAGGACATTTTAACTTTCGCAATTGATGTGTAATAAATGGCCACCAAGCAGAGTCAAATGCTTTAGATATGTCTAAGCTCACTCCAAGAACATATTTGTTGTCATCAAGTAAATGTTTAACTGTATTAACCATAGATTCAATCGCGTCCTCGGCCGATCGTTGTGGCCGAAAGCCGTACTGTTTATTGCTTATGCATTTATTATGCTCAACATGCCAGTTGAGCCTATTGGTCATCAACCGTTCGAGTATCTTACCCAATACGGGTAGAAGAGAAATTGGCCGCTCATCACTTGAAGAGCCTGGTTTTGGGACACGGACAATCCGTGCGTGTTTCCATGCACGAGGAAAAATTGCATGGTGTAGACAGGCATTATATAAATTAGTGTTGCGGAATTAGAGCCCACAGATTGAGTGCAATTTCTTTAGTAATTTCGTCAGGGCCCGGGGCTTTGCCTTTTTTGAGATAACAGAAGGCCTGTTGAATTTCCTCGTACTTGAATTGTGGAATGTCTATTGTATCGTCTAAATCGCCAAATTCAGCACGAATCGAACGTTGCCAGTCTGTGTCACCCTCTGGATCGTCATCAGGACAGAAGGCATCCAATTGGGCTGTTAACGTTTGGATAAGAGTAGGTGGGTTTAAGTACTGAAGATTTTAACCCACCTACTCTTATCCGTTATTGCTTAGGCATTTATTATGCTCAACATGTCAGTTGGTCATCAACCGTTTGAATATCTTACCCAATACGGGTAGAAGGAAAATTGGCCGCGCATCACTTGAAGAGCCTGGTTTTGGGGAATCCGTTATAATTTTTGTTTTTCGCAGTTTATTGCTGCACATTTTTGTTATGAATCCCCATGGGTTCTTAGAGATATTAGTACAAATTTCGCGCCAGCTGCGCGTTTTCTCAGCTTTCATTGCTTCTTTGTAGAGTTTTTGACTATAGAGATAGGCCTCTTTATGTGCAGTTCGTGCAGCATTATCCCTGCATCTCTGATATGTCTTCCTGAGTTTTCTTGTATTTTTACGGAGATTGTCTAATTCGGATGTCCACCATGGAACACTTTTCCTGTTCTGTGTTTTTTTTTGGGGGGTATGAAGAGACTGCACGCGTTGGAGATTGTTTCAATATTGTAATCAATTTGTTTCCTTACGTACGAGGAATTCTCTGAATAAATGTTAATAAGGTTACTCTCAAGGTATTCTGACATCTCTCTCCAATTAGCATGATTTAGGGCATATTTCAGGCGTGGGGAAAATGCTGGTAACAGGTCTTCCTTAGGACAGGTAATATCGAAAGCAATCATTGCATGTTCAGTTAAGCTATCTTCAGACAGTACTCTCCAATTATCTATTCTGGTGTAAAGGCTGTTACTACAGACGGCAACGTCTATCCAACTGTCGTCTCTGTGAGAGGTAAAGGTCGGTGGAGAGAAAGGGTTATTAAGAATAAGAAGATTGTTGAGTGCAAAAAATTCTTCCAACAGTCCTCCACGACGGTCTAATTTGTCCCCGCCCCATGAAGGAGAATGTGCATTCAGGTCACCTGCCATTATAATGTGAGTACCACAAAAGGTGCTAGTGATTCTTTGAAGCTCATCTATGAACGTCTCAGAGTTTGCATCTTCTGGAAAATATATGTTTAATTAATAATATTATTCTGACATCATTAACCATAAACTCTGTGGTTATTACATATTGGCTGCTGTACTTGGTATGGTGCATGATAGAAAGGTTAGTATTCGGAATCAAATTAATTGCCCGTGGGAATTGGCAGGTTCCCTGTAGGACTGGACAATAGGTAGGGAGACATGTAGGGATATTTTTACAACAATACGGCTCCTGTATTAGAATAATATCAAATTCAGTCATTTTCTTACTAAGGAAGGAAGTGGAAGAAATGCTCCTTCCCAAGTTAATTTCCAAAATATGAATTTTATTATTGTCGTTCAGAGTCATATTCTGTTCTGGAAATAATATAATGTTTGATTCTTTTGTAAATTGAACATGAGCCGTCTCGCGCGTTATGATGATGATTTGGAGAGTTTTCTTGTTGACAATTGCAGCAAATTGCTTCGTTTTTCCGGTTAGGACATTCCTTATAAGGATGATTTCCTATACAGTAACTGCAAGTATAAATGGTTTGCAGGCAGTCCCTCGCAGAATGATTATATCTGGAGCACTTATAACATTGTAAAATTGGGCAGAAATCTGCAATTCTACATCGTGACCATTCTAAGTTGACTTTCCCCATCTCTAGCAACAGATTCCTTATGTTAGGAGATACTTCGATAACCCAGTTCTTAAAAGTATTAGTCTTTCTCCCTAA